CTATTGATCAAACACATCAGACATTTTCCTCTGATCACTGTCAGTGTTTGTTACAGTAAATATTTTAGATTTGCCAATCAATCAAACTGAACTGAGATCTGCTGTATCACTGTAACTGTAAATATCATGTGATCACGTGGAGTTCTTCTCTTGTTTACGGCTCATTTTGGTGTAGAAGCTCCTCTGGTGTAACCATCTGTGGTGGGCTCCAGGGCTCCACCAGAGGCAGCCATACACAAAGAACAGGTGACAGAGTGAAGCACACTTCCTCTCATTGCTGGAAAATATAATGTAGTGATTCAGTATTTAAACTGTTATTAATAAAAGTCGTGGGGCAGCGTTGACAAATTTCTTTTCTCCTGGATGTGTGAGCTGCACGATCTCCAATATATATGTGTGTGTGTATGTGTATGTGTGTGTGTGTGTCAGTGCATTAATATAGAACGGTAATTAAAGGCTCTAATGCACAGCAGTACAGGTGTGTGTATTGTAGGAGCTAGACGACGTATGATGACGTGTGACTGCATAGTAGTGGTGTCCCAATTCTTAGGGGAATATTTACACTTTTTCTCATTTTTAAGGGAAGGGGAAGGGGTATAAAATAGAATTGGGATTGGGCCTTACTCTTTACTACACTTTTAGTAGGAAATGCAGCTTTTAGAGATTGCCGTGAAAGCACCCAGGGGAAATCTCAACACTTATCTGTGTGGAGGTGAAGAGAGACCGCTGATTGTGCAGTATATCCAATAGCGAGGATACCTGGATGCCTGGGGCATGGCCACACATGCAAATTTCACTCACCAATTTCATTGGCCTTTTCTGAATACGTCTAACCAATTCATATTTACGTCAATGAACGAATTATCATTTAACATTTATAACGGAAATAAACAATTATTAATTTAGTCTCATGTTGAACAAATTTTGAAATTGTGATAAGAATTAAATATTGGAAACATGATGAGTGTAAAAGATGAAAGCAGGTCGATCCAGATCTACAGGTGTAACGTTCACTGACTATTGAACGGTAAGATCCTCAGAGGGTAACAACAGAATAATGGAAATAGTATGTCAGTGAAGATGGTTGTGAATGTGTGTAGATGTGTGTTAGTTACAGGATCAGAGAAGGACACCGTTCCTCTGTCATAGTCCAGATCAACTCTCACACGCTCAAGCTTCTGTTTAACAGGAAAACCAGCCCGTTCAGAACATCTGTGCTCTACACTCCAGACATCAGTGTCAAAGAAAACATCTCTTTTCCTCTGGTTCGATGCTGTAGTTACTCCAATAATCCAGCATGGACTCTCTTTAACCTCCACATCCCAGCAGTGTGTTCCTGAGTTAAAACCCTCTGAACCCAGAACACATGGATAAGAGTCAAATCTCTCTGGATTATCAGGAAGCGGTTGATTGTTCCCGCTGTTTCTCACACTGGTCAGATCATCAGAGAGGACGAGACGTGGATCTGCAGTGTTTGGATCCAGAATCACAGGAGCTGATGAGACACAATCAACAGCTGCTTTTATTCTGATGTTCATATAATGATCAAGAGTGAA